CATCTGAATTTGTCCATTGAAAAAATGAATTTTAATTAAAGTCGCGGCCTCAATTAGGAATTTTACGGTATTTGTCAATATAATCATAAATATTAAGCTATTCAAAAACACATATTTAAACAATGTAATCAGGGTTAAACATTTTTAAAAACGATGATACCAAAAAGTTTTCAGTTTGCTTTGAATTCAGTACTGGTTATTAAAAATATTCACTGCATTTAAATTCAACAAATTTGATGTTAGCTCATAGTTTAGTTAGAGTAAATAAACTCAGGTCAACCAGGAGATGGCTAGACATGGCCGTTGTATTTTCTATTACTTTTGCCATGCCGGAATAGAGTTTGTATTTGTATGACAATGACTGGTATATCCTGGTAGTCTTGTTGGACTGAAAAGGTCTTCAAATAGCTGCAACGGTTGTGTTTTAATACATTTGTACTGCATAGGGTAATACTATGTTGCAGGGATATTCACAGAAATTTAAATTTACTAGTTTTATCACAGCAGTAAAAATAAAAGCCAGCTAATAAGAAATCGTCAAATTCGCAATTATTCAAGTGTGCTTAAATTGTCCCCATCTAAGGTGATTTATACTACTGGACTGAACTTTACGGAGGTATCAAAAACAAATAATTGCCTTAAATAAAAGAATTTGCTTTATTGCTCTTAGTAAAAATAGATATTCCTTTTGTTATGCCAATTCAAAGTTTATCAAATTTGGCCTTGACAGTAGGTCTCCTCTAAAATCCAAAGTTCATGAACCCCATACTCTAGTAATACAGTTTTAAAACTGGTGTATGTGTTTGCAGACTTCGATGGACATTTCTAGTTCACTTCCGCAAAATGTTTAGAATACGAAATACGATGACAGGGCTACTCTAACAAGTTTAACTTTAATCTAATAGACAGAGTCATCTACACAATCAGCAGCATTTATGCAAAGTCACAGACGATCCAAGAGCACAAATACTGAAATGATTTCTACTGTACATATGTCATTTATTAGCACAATTTTAATCAGGTAAGGCTAGTAAATTAAACCTAACATTTCCTGAGTTTCTAATCACACTTGTAGCACCGCTAATTTAAAGCAACCAAAATGATATGTTTTTTTTCACTAATTACATCAATTCATTCTGAAGTAAATTAGAATAACAATAAAATCAATTACTTTAACTAGTGATTTTCTCTAGTTGTATACTGTAGAATACTTTATTTTTGCATGGAATTAATTTTCACTAAAGGAATGATTCATTGAAAATAAAATCCACCGAATATACCTTTTTTTTCTATATTTTACATTCAACTTGTCAAAATCAGTGAAAATAAATTCCATACAAAACACCAAAAATGTCTTTTCAGCGAAAATTAATTCCAGCTAAAATCAAGTATTTTACAGTATTACATGAATGATTAGTGGCCTCAATTTGATTGACACGACCTCAAGATGTTATCCAAGAACTGAACGGCAAAATTGACTTCAATATTTGATGAACAGTTTATTTCAGATTAACACATCTGCATAAGACAGCACAGTTTCTTAACCTTTTTACCACCAGTTTTCTCTTTTCATCACAAATTCACAAAATAGTCCCATAGTCTGCACTTTCTTACAGAATTGTGACAAAAATAGTCAAATTTTTAAAATAAAAATTGAAAATTGATTCAAATTTTGTCTGCTGGCTTCAAAATTAGGGTACATTCCTAGAAATATTGAAGATAATAAAAAAAAAAGTTCAGAAAAATTTGCGCAGGAAAGAAAGAAAAGAATAGGTTAAGGTCTGATAATATCAGTTGATAAATCCTGAATAAAAATCAAAACTAAGGGGGAATACACTAAATAAAGAATTTGTACAAGTTTATTACATTTTTAGACCCAGACCAACAAACTTATGTATTTTAATAAATTATTGAATAATAAAATGTTATATAACTTTTCTTTCCTATTATCGATTCATTGAAGTTGCGTCGCGTCGGAGATTACACTCGCCGGATTTGAATTTTGCGCGCAGCATTTCTTGTTAATTAATGCATCTCATGAATAATTAAATGCCCACCCGCTTTACGGTTGCGCTCATGCCACAGTCCTGGCGCGTTTCAACCTTTGGGATACTTTACTATAATAGGGTATGTCTACATCTCGCGTTAAAATTTGCATATAACATTAGCGTGTAACAAAGATTGTGATAAAGGAAAGAAAAGTATAAACAAAGATCAA